CACCTGATCCTTTTGTATTATCATATTGTGTATATAAGTATTTATTTTGTATTTTCTTTTAAGCCAATATACATCCAAAATAAGGTTTATTACCTTGTCTATAGAGGTAACAGATGTTGTCATAAGATAAAGAACTCATCCACAGTCAATAACCATCTTAAGTCCTATACTGTCACACTATTTTCATTTTTGGATTTCTTACCAGTCTATTTTTATTGGATTATGTGATTAAACAACATCTCATTAAATATTAAAAAATAATTTTATGTAGATAACTTAGTGAATACCAGTAATTCCTCTGAAAAGCTATATTTTTTTCATGAATCTATGAGAAAAGGAGACTTTGAGTTGAGATCTCGCAATTCAAATTGCTATGAGTCAAAAACAATGAAAGATGGAAATTTTGTTTGCCAAAATTTTGTTTACAAACAAAAAGAAACGATTTCAAATGCCAAGCATTATCTCTGTATCTGCTTATAACAATTAAAGGGAGAATACTCGTTAGTGACTTGTGGCATTAAAATTGGATTGCCACGGTGTCATCTTTGCTGAAAATCAGGATGTTTGGACTACCTTATACAAGCATCTAATTCATTTAGATTTGTTACAGATTTATATATATTTGGCTATGTCTCTAAAAAAGCTAATGGTTTTGCACTTTTGGGCAAGTAAGTGTTTAGCTAATATATTGCGAATATTTTCAAATATCTCAATGAAGAATACCTTTATAGCAATTGATACTCAAGTAGCGTTATCTTGGTTACTTTCTGAAATTATTAAAATTAGGTATCAATTTGTAAGATACAGAATAAAAGATATTTAAAAAATAATCAAGGAGTTAAGTATTAAATATTCAATTTCTATAAGTACATCTTTACTCTGCAAAATCCAACTATTTTAATTACCAGAGGTCTATCTTTAACAAAAATTGAAACAAAATTTTAATTTTGGGGTTTCTGAACTTGAATTCTTGTGGAAAAAGCTTGTGATCTGTCCTATCAATTTTTTAGGTTGTCTAAGTTAATGAAATAAAGAAATGAATGAATCCCTATACGGTGCTATATAATGTACACACACACACGCACACACACGCACACACACACACGCACACACACACACACACACACACACACATATCGTTTTAATGGATATATGTTGTTAAAGGATAAAATAGGAAAAATTCTTGCAATTATCTAAGTTTGCTTTTGAAGGGATAAGATAAAATTATTTTTAATAAACCAGATAATATTAAATGGTTTGAAAAACTAATTAGTTACACCAGTTAGAATATTATTAACATGGTTGTTTTGGAAAAAAAACAACAAAAAGAATAATAATTTTGATTTTTTTTTTTTTTGTGTGTGTGTTTTTAGATTTTAATTTACCATAGTTACCGGCAAGTTTATACTTGCCGGTAACTAATTATACTTGCCGGTAAATGGTAAATTAAAATCTAACATTTATTCAATATACGTAACTAAGATTATAAAGCCAAAGTACCTAAAATTAAATAAATATTAGAATGTTTAAATTTTTTTTAATATAACTAGGTAGCTAAAAATTATCTAAAATGTATTCGTCATGTAATCTGTAATCGTCATGTATTTTTACTACAAGTAAAATTTACATGAAAATTTCCACCTTGCATCAATCTTACAAACATCAAGTTATCGATTAGAGTGTCAACACCCCATAAAACACCCATCTTCGCGTTAAATATACTTTTGTGCAATATTTTAAATTAAAAGTAAGTAACATTTGTTTTAACTCAACTTTAAATCAGACAATTTTCCTCAAATACAGTTTCAAAAACGTATATTTTATTTTTGATAGTGTTTTTAATAAAGAGAATTATGTTGTGTTGAAAGATTTGTCAATATAGCCAACTTTTCGATTTCAAAAGATAAAAATAATTTCAATCAGTTTAAATTCGTTTTGAAATACAGCATTGGAAATAAATTCGTTTTGAAATACAGCATTGGAAATATTTAATTTCTATTAGTTTGTAATTAAATTAAATAAGTTTCAATAAAGAATTTACATTTTCAAAATGCATTTTAAACCTTCGGTGTCTCTTTTCAGGATTTACCTCCATATTCGTTCACTTCACTGTGTTCAGTGTTCATCATTCTTTGCTTTTAATGACATTTGAGATTCCTTAATTTTAATAGCTTATTCAGTTTCTGAATTGTATCAGTCACTATTCCTTTCAGCTTTCAGATTCTGTGTCAGATTGCCTTCGTCTATAATCTACAAATAGTTAAATTTCCCTGTCTATTTGATTGTGCTATTCACAAAACATAACTCAAATTTTATGTTCTCCCTTTTGATTTGTTTTCTGGTTATCAGAAGAGATAGAAGGGAGGTAATACATCCTAATTTTAAAGAGTTATTTACCTTGAACTGTTTTATGATTTGTAAAAATGTTCTGTGAACACGGGGTTATTTCTGCTGCAATGGGCACTCGATATGGTATCTATGGAAAAATATTGTTTGACGAATTTCAACAGTTATCACAAAGGTATATTACAAATTTTAGGTTTTAAAAGTTTTGAAAATTTACGAGCTGTTTTGGCTACTTTTTTAACATTACACACGGTTGTTGAAAATTGAATTTTCTATTTGAAAGTAAAAATAAAAATATTGATAATCGATATGGAATCGATAGAAAAATATTGATTTTGAGAAGTTTCAACAGTTTTCAGAAAGTTAAAAGGCAAATTTTATGTTTTGCATTCCTTTGAAAAATATTGAAATATACGTGCAAATGCAGTCAATTTTGTCAGCTTTTTTTAACGTCAAGGTTGTTTGAAATTTGAATTTACTATTTGAAATCAGTAGAGAGCCAATACAATTATTGATAATCGACATGGTACAGATCAAAAATTATAGATTTTGACAACGTTCAACAATGACATATTACAAATTTTAGATTTTACACAATTTTGAATAACAGTGAAATGTACTTGTAAATGCAAATTCTTTTGGTTATGTGTGAGAGAGAGAGAGAGTTTTGGAAACACACAAACACATATATATTTTTTTTTTTTAATGGAGTGGATTTGAACAGCGAAATTAGATCAGAACAATTTTGTTTACTGACGGAAACCTGATCTCGCGCATTTGGAATTGGGTCATTAAAAAAAGACAATGAAAAATGATCGGTTAAAATTGAAAGAGCTTACTCAGGCTATGAGAACTTTGAAACTCACATGGTTTTGGGTTGATAATCGTGTGTAAGGACCAAGGGTCGATTTGTGATCAGTCAGGCTTATCTATATAAACACGCACAGAAATCTGTTGACAGGGTGGTTGGCTGGTCTGCCGTCGAATGCAGACGGAAGAGAGAGGCAGGGGTGACCGCGATCGGTCGGCACATCGTCGTCACGTGTGTGAGCACCTGCAGGCGACCATTACGGGTTGCGGTGCTACAGGAGAGACGGAAGAGCCAGATGGAAGAGCTAGACGGAAGATGCAAAGAGTGGCTGACTAGTCTGCCGTCAAGTGCAGTCGAGCTGGAGAGAGAGGTCGGAGATTGGGAGTGACATCAGAGAATTGGAACCAAACACCCGCTAACATATTTTGTTGATATAAGTACGAAGAAGTGAATTACTCCTCCAACGTCTAAGACTACTACTGCAACTATTATTACTACCACAGGAAACGGAAACGTCGAAAAAGCTGCAATAATCAAGAGACGCATATCGTTCTGAGACGATTAGACAACAAGCTAATCACAACCCATTCTGTCTTTGTCTAGAATCCAGTGTATGAGTTTTTACTTCAATTATTTTCTATTCTGTAACCCGTTTCTTTTCTATACTATTCTTTCCTGCTATATAAAAGACATTAACAATTCAACCATTGAATAGTTGTTTGTACAGCTTACTGCAGATATATATATATATATTTTGATGCATTCTAAATTTCTTAGCAAAGACTCTGCAGTCGTGTCTACATCTCCAGTCGACCGTCAATGGATGAACATCGCTTCTGCTTTCTGGATCAAACCAAACACAACGTGGGTAGGAAGCAGGATTAAACCAGCAAACCGGTCGAATGATCTACGGATGTTCAGGGGACCTACGGTCACTCCCTTGAGTTCGGTTAAGACTGAGTAGACACCTCAACCCAGAGAGTAAGACATCGGAGGTTGGGGGGTTAGGGCGAAAGTGGTTTAGACTGGTAGCCGTGACCAGGATAGACCCGTGGAAATTACCACGACCGTCTGAAAGAGGAGAGAGGGTTGCATTTGTGTTGTCCAGTCGGGACCAAGTAAGACTAGAAAGGACTCTAGTCTTCGGACTATATTGGTCTGGAAGGGACATAACGAGGAAAAGAGAAGGAAGCAAAAGAAGGAGGAAAAAGAAACAAAATACGGAGCGACGGACCTCAGGTAATTCAATTTTTGGTTTCCTTTGTTCGCTCATTGCACTTAGATCTGCCAGTAATCTTGATGATCTTGTTTTTGTCGACGTCGTACGCAGTTGAAGCGCCACCACCGTGTTAAGTATTTTTCCTTTCGTTCTGTCGTTGAAAGTGGTAGTTGAGAAGACGCTAGGATGAGCGTAGCAGGATCAGACGTCACAGATGATCTTGGGGACGCGGGAGTCCCCGAAATATCGATGGGTTTCAGGAGGCTGATAGGTAGCATGAAGCTACCTACTTATAAACGAAACTCTGCGGACCTGCACGAATGGATTCTGTCCAATCAGGTGATCTATAGTCTCTCGGACCAAGAAATGGTGCTCCTAGCTTACGATGACGCAGCGGAGCAGGTGTCCAAGTGTATTGGGGGGGGTACAGCGAAAACCCGGCCCTGATGTGGACCGAGCTTAAATCCGCTCTGGTGCGGCAATACGCAAGTGAGCGTACAACCATTGAGGCAGTCAGGGAATTATTCCGGCTGCAGCAACAAGAATGAGAGACTAATGAGGAATTGGGAGAAAGAATCGCGGGTTAGCTTTTCCGGAGTTGGCGACTCGGGACAGTGGTCCTATTCAGGGCTTGTTGCCGATGTGTATGTGGACGCGTTGAGTGACAGGGACCTGAGGGGCGACGTTCTGAAGCGGGGGCCGGTCAGCCTGGCCACAGCTATAGAGGCGTCTCGGACCAGCGAACGGATTTGGGATAGAATGAGGGGTGTAGGTAGGAACCCCTGAGGGGCAAAAGTAGTGATGAAAATGAAGGACAGATACTGGACCCGAAAGAAGAAGTGGAAGAGGACTGGGAGGCTGAGACAGTTCCCAATAGGAGAGCCTGGGATCTGCGTTATGGGCCGATATGGGCTGGTGTGCTGGACTTGCAAGTATGGTGGGCATCGGGCCCGCGACTGTCCGACAAACTATGGAGGCGAACAAGGTCTTTGGGGCTGAACTACACGACTTGTGGTGAGTTCGGGCACAAGGCTCGGTGGTGTACAGCAGAGGGAGACCGTAAACTAGGGATAAGCGAGTTAATACGCTGGTGTCCCCTACCGAGAAGGAAAAGGGTCCGGGAAACGCCGATGAGTCACCTGTGAAAAAGTAAGAGGCAGGGTGGCCCCAGTGCAAGTAAGACCTCTGAGATGTTGGACATGTGGTGTGGTAAGGCACTTTTCGGCAAGTTTCGGAACGAAGGTGTTGGGCGCTGTGGAGGAGCGGGTCACCTGAGACGAACCTGTCCTCGCATGAGAAAGATAGACCACACCGAACGAAACAACACTAACTCGAATAGAGGGAAGGGATTGCTAGTCCAAGAAAAGAGAGTCACCGAGCTCTACTCGACCCAGGAGGGCCACTAGACAGAAATGGGAGCCCTTACAAAAAGTTGAACTCCTGTCACCGACTCCCACGTCTCGGTTGTCGAGAAAGCGAGAGGAAGGGAGAGAACATATGGGAAGGAGAAGGGCACAGGTATACCGTTTGCTGAAGGAAGGACCAGACTTGATCTGTAATGTATTGCTGGGAGACAAGAAGGTGCAGGCCCTTGTCGATACTTGAGCTTCAGTGTCACTGGTTAGCGTCAAGGTTTTTAGACAGATAGTCCCGTAATAAGTCAGGCTGACAGTAGCAGGATGAGGATAGAGCGTATCCAGTAGGCAAGAACCAGAAGTAAACTTAAGTTTTATGTGGCACCTGACTTGTGTGGTGAGCTAATTTTGGGGAGTGACTGGCTTAGGCAGAATAAGGCACAGATCCGTTTCGACCCCGCTACCCTAACATTGGACGGGGTAGGGATACTGTTGGGAGAGGATAATTATGAACAATTGCCAGTGGTGGCCCAGACAGATATAAAGCTTCCCCCTAGGACTACTGCATCTGGGAAGGGCAAGATTATAACAGAAGGAGTGCTGAACAGTGACCTGCACCAAGTGGTCCCTACTGATAGGTATGATAATAGTGAAGAGGAAATAATCATGTGTGATTCGTTGGTGAAGAGGTCGGGGACCGTTCCCTTACTGTTAACCAATACTGCCAATAAAACTATTAAAATAAAGCAGAGAGAGGGACTGGTACAGGGGTACCCAGTGAGAGAAGTTGAACAAATGAGAGTAGGGGATGAGAATATGCCTGGGAATAATACAGGTAGCAATGAAATAAGGGATGAAGATATAAGCGTTATAAGAGGAAAGTTATAAGAGGAAAGTGAGGTGGGGTTCTGAACGGTAACCAGGAGGTAATAGCCATTACTGATAAGGAACTGAGACAGGCGGAGTAGACGAATAAGAAGATACAACAGTGGGCATTGAAGTTAAGTTGGTATAACTGCAGAATAGAGTATTTGGCAGGGAAGGATAATAACTGTGCTGACCTGTTATCGAGGATTACGAGGCAATTAGAGACCGAATCTGTCAGGTTCGAGTCGGGTGTGGATGATAAAACATTCCAAATTAATGTGATCAATTCACAGGCGTTAAAGGAGAGACTTGGTTGGGAAGATCAGGAAACGAATGAAACGGAAATTGTTTTCGACCTCCACTGGAGATATATTATTAGGCAAAACCAAGAGGATAGCGAGATAGCAACTATCAGGTCCAGGGTAGAGGCAGGGTGTACCTCCAAATATATGATGCCCGATGGAGTGTTGTATTACCTTTCAGGAAGAGATGAGGAAGTAATTTTAAAAATGATGATACCTGAGAAGTTGAGAAATTCTAGACCAATGCCATAGGAGGTTAGGACACCTGGGAATTGATAAGACGTATGGATTAATAATGAGAAATTACTACTGGCCTAAGTTGTTTAATGATGTTGTGAACCATGTAAAAAAATGCGTAACATGCCAAGTACAGAGTCAAAGGTTGCCCCAGTATTAGAAACGGATGTTCCGAATTATCCATTTCAGAAAGTAAGCATGGATATTTCCGGGCCCTATGGAGAAACACATAGTGAGTTTTGTGAACTGGCTGAGGAATTGGACTGAGGCATTTGCCACACCGGATAAGACGGCACAAACGGTGTCAGATATAATACTGAACGAAATATTCCCTAGGTATGGAGCCTCCGAACAGTTAGTTACCGATAATAGATCGGAGAATGTGAATCAGATTATGAGAGAGACGTTGGGAGAATTAAACATACAGCACATAACCACCTCTCCATATCACCCCCAAAGTAACGCTAAGGTAGAGAGATTTCATAAGACCCTCGCTGATGTGTTAGCTAAACTAACAGAGGATAATAGGGAAAACTGGGATTTATTCATAACCCAAGCATTAGCAGCTGTGAGATTCTCGATGAACGAGACGACAAAATTTTCCCCTTATTACTTGATATATGGCAGGGATGTAGTCTTACCTATAGACAATCTGTTATGACCTAGGAGGAAGTATTTAGAAGATCCTCATCAAATAGTTTTAGAACAACAGTATACATTTTTTACGCAGGTGAGGAGGAGGATTCAAAGAGCCCAGAAAAAGTGAAATGATAGGGTAAATAGAAATAGAGACGAAGTTTCCCTCCAGATAGGTGATCCAGTGTATTATAAAAGACACAGGAGAGAAGGTAAATTGGACCAGAGATGGAGTCCATACTATAGGATCGTGGAGCAGACGGGACCGGTTTCCTTTGTGATCTGGGACCAATTGACCAGACAGGTAAAGAGAGTGTATGCGAATGATATAAAGCTAGTTGAAATAGGAGAATGAAAAGGAGCCGAAACAAAAACTCAATAGAAACGGCTGAGGAAAACTACATTGGTAGAACCTGAAGGGTTAGAGACTGAGAGCGAAAGTGAAGGGAGTGAAGGGATTGAAATTAGCCCAACTACCCTTCGAAGGCTGAGGGAGGTAAGTCGGACCCCAGCGGGACATTCTGGGGAAGCAGGGATTGAGCCTAATCTTAGGGAAGAAGAAGAACTGAGTGAATCGGAAGAAGAGGATGAAATTCCGTGAGCTCAATTGCAGAGTAAATTGCGGGCTGAAAAAGCAACAAATGTTAATGAAGAATTACCACTAAAACGGCGATTGAAGGGAGCAGTGCAGCCCGAGTCCAAGGATTAAGTGAAACTAGTAGAGTGGCTGTGGTGAATGAGTGACAATCTGGGACTAACTGTACATTTATCATCAGTGCTGATGGACTGTGTGGACATCCCCCATGCATGAACAGCACCGGCGGTGGTGTGGGTCGGTGCTTGAGGTATCGCTCTAAGATGTAACCATCCGATAAAAGCAATAAGAGAATGATTGAGTAAGGCGAAGTATTCTCTCCATCTCTTTGCAAACATTGATGAGAGGAGGTTCGTGGAACTGACGATGCTAGTTGTGGGAGCTAATACCTGGGAACACAGTGAGGATACCGTATTTAAGAAGACTAGCGAAGTGATTATAACTAGATCAATGAGATTACTCATTAAGAGGAAATTAAAGGTGGTAGAACAGAGACAACAAGCAATGGCTCAGTCGGTTAGAGAGAGAGCGTATCTATACTCAATGTTACTAGGCTGAAATTGGCTTAGAGGGAGTATCAATTGGTTGATTTCTCACCTACAGGTTTTTAGAAAAGAAGCGATAAATGTAACCACGTCTGTAACAACCGAGTTACAAAAATTAGAGGGTTTTTTTTGCAAAGGTATTTTCAATTATTAGCTATAATGAGTAAGGTACGTCAAACAAGTCACACTTTAACGGTGTTGTTAGAGCATGTGAGCGCACAATTAGACATGCTCTCGCTAGGGCACCTGTCTCCGAGTATAATAACTCCGGAACGACTAAGGGAAGTACTACTAGAGGTATAAGCCAAACTACCCCATCACCTCCGATTACCTGTAGACCCCCACCCAGCAGTTATGGAGGTATTATAGCGCCTTGGGATGTACTACCTTGTTGGAAGATGACAAATTGCTAGTGCTAGTGCCGGTTCCATTACAGGACAGAGATAGTACCTTTGAAATTTATCAGGTGATGAATCTTCCCCTTCCCTATCCAAAATTAAGGTACAAGGTAGAGACGGAATTTGTTGCCCTAAACCTAGCCAGGACAGAGTTTATGCTATTAACAAAGGGAGAAGCAGAAAAATGCAAGAATGATGCCTTGGGTATATGTGGGTCTGTAAGTCCAATTTACGTGACAGGTTGTCATAATCTGTGTGTACTAGATTTATTTAAAAAGAATAAAAATGGAATTAGAGATCATTGTCAGGTAAAGGTGTTGGATAGTGTAATGTTACCTAAAGCAACCAGTGTCTATGACAGAATTTGGGCGGTAGCCACACAAGAAGAGATCGAATTATCTAAGTGAAAGGAATCCCACCACTGGGATAAGAGTTACTACCCCTTTGTTTTTTGTAGAGCTACCCATTGGTTGTGGAGTTCATGGTCCATCTATCTCTTTACCCCATCTACTACCAAGCAGAAGAGCAATTTGAAGAGAATGAGGCTTTGTTAGAACTGGTAGGAACGAATACCAGTGGATGGACGGGATTGTGGGAACCCTTTGTGAGAGAGATTCCTAAGATGTCGCTAGAAAAGATGCTGGCGTTGTTAAAGCCAATCGATAAGATTGATCTTGGACGGTTGAAGTCAGAGTTAGATAAGATAGGTACGCTGAATTCGGACTGGAGAGAGAACTGTGTTGCTATAATAAGCTGGGCGACTGTTGTGGGAATTATACTAATGATAGTCGTGGCCTTGCTTGTTTGGTGGTGGTTGAAGAGGCATGCGGTGTTGTCGACTGGGCAGAATAAACTGGCACGGGAGTGCATGAGTGAAGGAGGGATTCCAGTTAGTGCACTTTACCAAGGTAGGTCCGACCCGAGTGAATTGGGACCCCTAACTGATATTGGAGAAGAGTCCACGATTGTCGTGGGAGGACCTGAACCAACAAAAGATTCGACAAAGCCTGTTATGAAGGCGAGACAAAATCGGAGGGACTGATTTACGAAATAAATCGAAATTTTTTAATTTTTTTTCTCGTAATGAGACTGAAATAATTGTTAAGGAGTGTTGCGAGCTCCAGTAGTTGAAAAAGAAAGAGAAGAACATTCGAAATAGTGAACAATGTGAAAAGGTTCTATTGCACGAGATCACTACAACGGTGAAATTTAACCGGAAGTCGCATGTACATATGTATCGTAAGGACAATGAAAATGTAAATGGGCATAATGAGACCTAAGAAGAACTGAGGACTCAACCTATGCATGCTGGAAGAGACGTATAAGTAGACCCCAGTCAGAAGCATGTTGGACTGGGTTTTCTCGGATTTTGCTGAAAGGAAAGATCGTCTTTCATTTACTGGTAAATGACAGATGGGTAGGGGAGGAAATGTGACAGAGAGAGTTCAGGAAACACACAAACACTCACACACATATATATATATATATATTTAATTGAAGTGGATTTGAAAAGCGAAATTAGATCAGAACAATTTTGTTTACCGAGGGAAACCTGATCTCGCCCATTTGGAATTGGGTCCTTAGGAAAAGACAATGAAAAATGATCGAAATTAAAATTGAAATAGAGCTTACTCATTTGAAACTCATATGGTTTTGGGTTGACGGCGACACTCATGATAATCGTGTGTGGAACAAGGGTCGATTTGTGATCAAGCTAGGCTTATCAACGTGCACAGAAATCTGTTAACAGAGAGATTAGCTGGTCTGCCGTCGAGCGCAGACGGAAGAGGGAGACGGGAGTCACCGCGATCGGTCGGCACATTGTCGTCACGTGCGTGAGCACCCGCAAGCGACCATTACGGGTCGCGGTGCTACAGGAGAGACGGAAGAGCCGGAAGGAAGAACTAGACGGAAGAGGCAAAGAATTGTTGGCTGGTCTGCCGTCGAGCTGGAGAGGTCGGAGGTTGGGGGAGACATCAGAGAATTGGAACCAAACGCCCGCTAACATATTTTGTTGATATAAGTACGAAGAAGTGAATTACTCCTCCAACGTCTAAGACTACTACTGCTACTATTATTGCTACTACGGAGATTACTACTACTGCTACTATTATTACTACCACAGGAAATGGAAACGTCGAACAAGTTACAATAATCAAGAGACGCATATCGTTCTGAGACGATTACACAGCAAGCTAATCACAACCACTTTCTCTCTCTCTCCCCCCTCTCTCTCTCTCTCTGTCTAGAATCCAGTGTATGAGTTTTTACGTCAATTATTTTTCTATTCTGTAACCCGTTTCTTTTCTATACTATTCTTTCCTGCTATATATAAAAGACATTAACAATTCAACCATTGAATAGTTGTTTGTTTGTTCGGATTAGTATATATATATATATATATATATATATATATATATATATATATATATATATATATATATATAGATAATATTAGTGGAAAATATACATGCATATGAAAAATATATCTAAAAAATTCCCATACATGTATATTTTCAGAAAAAAATTTTCCAAGATTAAGGATCCAGGTAGAACTCAATGTCTAGGACAACCTACTTTTTGCAGGGTTATACACGCGTTGGGACTCTTTTTGTCCCACTAAGCGCAAGATCAACATTATTAAAACCCTCCTACACAGAGCATTAAAGATCTGCTCTGAGCCTTTCTTGAACGACGAAATTAACTTTATTAAGGATACCCTATGTAATTTGGGTTATCCTCTTGATACTTAATTCAGTTATCCGTAGTAAAGTTGAAGAGTTCAGAAGTGCCGAGCTCTACACTGTCAAAAAATGCCCAGTTTAACTCAGATTACCCTGGATTGGTACCAAATGTGAAAAAATAGCTAAACAAATTTCATCCAATGTTCGTTTTTGTTTTTTTTTCTCTGCTGAAGTTCGGATTATTTTTCAAACTCGGCCTATGTTTCGATCTGCGTGTAAAGACGTTCTCCCTCCCCATCAAATTAATTCAATTATTTACAAATACGTTTGTAGTTGCGGAGCCGACTACATAGGGAGAACAACTCAACGCTTAGACATGAGAATAAAACAACACGTTCCTACTAAAATTAGAAATCACACCTTGCCGTTGAATGGACTCGTCCGAACACCTATAGTTCCGCCATATGCGAACATCTATTAAATAACAGAGATTGTGCAGCCAAATTTAGTGTTGACTGGTTCACGAAAGTGCGTGTCATTTTTTGGACTACTTTTTGAAGACCGTCTGCCCTCTTGATATTTGTCCCTTACGCTTTGAACGTCATTTTTGTCAAGTTTTTTTTTTTATTACTGTCTCTTTTTGTGTTCTTACGAAACTGTTTTTTGAAAAAAAGATTTTGATTTTTTCTTTTCCATTTTTACCCTCCTCTTTTTTTAATATATTTATCTACTTTAATTTCTTCTTATTCCTTTTATTTTAGATTTCCCTTTTCGTTTTTCATTTTCTCTAATTTCTCCTTTTTATATCTCCGTTTTTGGTTGTTCCGTAACCCGTGTCTGTGTTTTCGTTTTGACTTACCGTTAAATAATTCTTTTATTCTTTCCTTTTTAATATCATTTAAGTTTTCCGTTTTTTGTATTGTATATTTGTTTATTTAATTGTTGTAACCTTTATTTGCTGTCTATTTGTCCATATATTTGTCCTTGTGCTAACGTTTTGTATTGTATAATTTTCTTTTGTTTATTTGTTTTTGGTGTCGGCCATTTTGTAATTTGTAGCTAGCTCTGCCTAGTTTCGTATTTTTTTTTTTTTTTCCTTTTTGTCTAAGCGTTTTTTTTTTTTTTTCGTTTTTTTTTTTTTTTTTAATTTATTGTTTCGCCGTTAGGCGAACTTTTTAATTTTTATATAATATTTATTGTACGTGTTTTTATTTTGCTTGTTTGTATCACTTTCGGGTGAGCTTTTTTGCGTGTTATCTTTATTTCTATTATTCCCCACCCCTTTTCCCCATCCCCTTCCCTTTTATTATAAAAATTTATTATGGATAAGAAGGAAAAAAAAGCACCTTCGTTTTTAGCCATTAAGAAAAAACCAAACTTATCTGACTACCGAAAGTCGATAAGAAAACATTTATTTAACCCCCAAAAAAAAGATCCACCGGATAAAGACAATCCCAATGAATACCCAGCCCTAGAATCAAGTTCCCCTAGCGATGATGAAATCGCTGGGAAAAAGGATCAATTACCAACTAAATCTACGGAGGCCAATAATGGCAGAAAAAAAAGTGAAAAATCTACGGAGGCCAATAATGGCAGTAAAAAATGTGAAAAATCTACGGAGGCCAATAATGGCAGTAAAAAAATGTGAAAAATCTACGGAGGCCAATAATGGCAGTAAAAAATGTGAAAATGCTACGGAGGCCAATAATGGCAGTAAAAAAATGAAAATGCTATGGAGGCCAATAATGGCCAAAAGACCAAAGTGACATGTTAGCCAAAAATGGCTCTCAAGAAAAGACTGAGGGCCGGGAATCGCCCTCTTGTTGGTCGTCCCCACCAAAATGCATTATCAATCTTGCGGATTTCTTGGAGCGTGCTAAGAGTTACGCTCACCTTGTCGTGGAAGGTGGACTCTTAGAAGACCCCAAGAATTGAAGAAGATTGAAAAACGAATTGTGTCGGTTTTTGTCGTGGATAGGCGTTCGCGAAAAATCTGTCGCTCGACTAAAAACATAGTGTTGAAGTCACTAGATTCCCTGGGGTTTAAGCCCCTTAGAATTGTTAAGGGAGCCAAATTCTTCATGTGGGACGTACTGCTACCCACGCCAGAAGACTGCGTAGCCGCGGCGAGCCGTGAACTGATCACTAAGGATTTGATCCTTCGAACTGAGTACGAAGGCCGCAGAAGGACCAGCGTGGCCGTATACGAGGTTCCTCCTCAGGTTATCGGGGAACACCTGGCCGCATTCATGTCCCTGTATGGCGAAATTCTGGGCGCCTCCTGTGATAACCTGAACGGGGATGGAGCTTCGATATCATGTTAGACGATAAAGCCTTCCGCTCCATCCCCAACTGTCTGGATGTCGGGAGTTTGAAATTACCGGTCATTGTGACTGGCCGAAGACCGGTATGCTGGAGGTGTGGAGAGACTGGTCACCTTTCCTCCTCCTGCCCAGAGAAGAAGGCCTCTGGTAGTCAAGCTCCTGTTGACCAAAATCCCCTCTGATCGCGTCTCCAATTTCCGCCTCGCCTGTAATGGGCGTGCCAGCTTCCGGGACCGGGTCGGTTAATCCTCCGGTTGGTATTCCATCAAAGACCACATTCCCCAAAGAGCCTTCGCCCGCTGCTAGTGCTGTTGTGGAGAAGGGGGAGGGGGAATGGCTGGTGGCTGGTAAGGCCAGAGGGAAGCGCCAGACAGCGGGTCCTCAGTCCCCTGAAGCCCCAAGGAAAAAAGGCACATACAGCCCCACTCCCTCTGGCAACGTTGAGGGCGACGCCCCGGCCTCTCAACTCGAATTCAAAGAAAAACAAAAAAAATACGACCCTGGTTATGAGAAAACGGAAAAGATAAAAGAGCTTAAAAAGAAACTAGATATCCAGTCTAAATCTCAAAACACAAATCCCCTCCTTCCACGTCTTCTGCCCGGTCCGCACCTTCACCCAAAAGCAAACATTCCCTCCATCTACACCGTCAAAAGCCCGTCCTCAGAGTAGAGATCCCAGTCCCTATAAACATAGATCCTTTTACACTCCCCTTCACACTCCCAGCCCTTCCCTGTTAAACGAAGATCATCCCATACCCCTCTACATACTCCCAGTCCTTCCCCTGTCAAAAAATCGGAAATGCCGCCTCCCGCTCCCAAACGGGAGAGAAGCCCCCCCCCCAAACACAAAAAGAAAAGAAAAAAGAAAAACATATTTTCAACACGGGCGAAGATGTATGTAAAATTTCATCAGCGCAAGCAGAAAGAGCCCGTGACTATGGGAATAGGGTTAAAAGAATTAAAATACCTCCTATCCATTAAGCAATACGCTGACTTGGATGTGGAGGTTCGGAAAATTTCCCGCTTGCCCAAAGGGTCCTTACTGTGGTAAGAACAGGACCTGCAGCCAAGCTGGCCTGGACAATGATAGAGGAGGCCATTAGTGCTTGCAAAATGGCTTTGCCAATAGCCATTGTTCAAAATGAGCAATTGAAACAGCTGGCTAATCGTTGTACTGGGAGGGTCCCCGTTTTAGTTCATCCCTCCCTCTATAGAGCACTAAAGTTAACATTCCCCTGGGATATCGGCGGGATCTCCCAGGACGGTTCCATCAAGAATGAGATGGGCCATGGGTCTATGGGAGAGGCCGTCGGTATCCTTACCCCGGCCATGTTTAATTCAGGTAAACAACCCTAATCGGACTTCTTGATGGCTCTCTCTGGTTAGCTACGTTAAATGTGCGGGGCCTGAGGTCCGAGTCTCGCAGGGCGAGGCTCTCTCGTGACCTTCAGCGCCTCGGGGTGAATGTTTGTTGTGTGCAAGAGACCCGGTTTTCTTCTCATGACCATGAGGATATACTGTCTAAGGGGTTCGCCCTTTATTCAGCATGTTTTGATGGTCGTTCGAGGGGTGTCTCTTGGCTAGTTAGCAGGTCTTTGAAGGCTGCATGTACCCTTGTCTTCGCAGATCCGGCGGGCAGGCTTTGCGTGCTGGATGTTACTATAAAGGATAAGGCTTTACGTCTCATTGGGGTTTATGCGCCCAATGTTCATGCTGAGCGGCCTGCTTTGTTTCGGCAGATCGAGCCGTTTTTGAAGACTTCTCGTCGGGTAGTCTTAGCGGGGGATTGGAATGCCGTCCTTGACCCCAGGATAGATCGTATAGGTAAAAAAACCGGGTACTAACAATCCTGATGTGAAGGCATTTCGGGACTTTATCGGCAGTTTCGATCTTGTCGATAAGTACCGGAATGAGCACCCTCAGGAGGTAGCATGGACTTGGACAACTAGTGGCAACTCGGTTCCTGGCTCGCTTGCGAGCTACCTGGACCGAGTGTTAGTTAGGAGAGTCGACGTAGGGCTCTTAGGGTGTCCAAGTTTCCACTATATAGTTTATACGGATCATAGGCTTGTCCGGGTCCGTGTAAACTTAGATAAACCTAAGGTTAGAATGGCTGGTTACTGGAAATTTAACTGTTCATTTTTTGGTGAGCAGGATTTCCGGGACCAGCTGCTACTAATGATTCAGAGGGAATTGACGGGGGCGGTTGTGGGAAACGCCTGGTGGGGAAAATTAAAATCAAAAATTAGAACGTTTGCTGCCGATTTTAGTCGTCGACTCAATCTAGATAGACTAGCGGCGCAAACGGTTTTAGAAGATAAAGTTGATCGGGCCGTCAAATCCCGTGTTAGTGGGGACATAGTCTTAGCTAAGGCAGAGTTGGCCTCCTTGCTTATCAAGAAGGATCAAGCTCTGGTAGTTAGGGCTAGGCTAAAAAGAATGTCTTCTGAGGCGACGAATATGGCCGCAGAATTGCGCGCAGAGGAAAATCGGAACGCGGATAAGCGACATATAGCGTGCGTCACATTGCCGGATAAGCGGACCGTGACTACAAACGCGGGCATATGCGAGGCCTTTCGGCTTTACTTTCAGGATCTTTTCACCAGGGAGCCCGGTCTGAGCTCTGCTCAGTTCGATGCCTATTTGGCTGACTTTCCCTGCCTTGAGGCAGCTGAAGCGGCTAGGTGCGAGGGTCCCATAACAGAGTCGGAAATCTGGGATGCGCTGAAGCAGGTTGGCCTGGATAAGTCTCCGGGACTAGATGGACTTCCCTACGAAGTGTACTTGAGGCTGTCGCCCGTTTTTGTTCCTTTGCTGCAGCTGATTTACAACCACTGGATGAGGCAGGGGTCTTTACCTCGACGCTTCACCAGGGGTGTGATCAAGTTGTTGCGTAAGGACAAGAACGGTGGGGATGGGTTAGGGAACTTTCGCCCTTTAACGATGTTAAATACTGACTTAAAGATTTTGGCGAAGATCTTAGCCAACCGTTTGCAGCTTGTCCTGTCTCGTCTGATTGGCCCCGAACAGACTTGTGCTGTGAAGGGCAGGACTATTCAGGATAACCTTCATATGGTACGCTTGATCTTAGAACAAGTCGACAGTGAAGCCGCGCTGATCAATTTAGATCAGTCCAAGGCCTTCGATAGGGTTGACCATCGGTTTCTGGAGGCTGTCCTGTCGGCGGCCGGTTTCGGAGCCGACTTTCGCTCCTGGATCCGTCTCTTGTATGCGACCCCGGTGCGCTGGTGGAAGTGAATGGGGTGAGGTCGGAGCCTTTC